GTGCTTTGGAGTCACAAGACTCTGTTTACATCCCGATAAACTAGGTGTCTCCAGGAGAACATCTGCCACGACCTGAAGCAGCTCTGGCAGGGAATCCTTGGTGCAGCGGGGAGGTCGGTACACCAAAAGGAATCCTGTACTGCCCCTTTTGCCCAACTTCCAGAACATGCACTCAGAGAACTGGGTCTTCCCAGTAGGACACCTGGTGCAAGCTAGTGACTTCCCAAAAATCACTGCAACCCCCCCTCCCCACCCACATGACCTGGGTTGCTGTGTGTAAGAGAAACCTGGTGGACAAGCAGCAGCTAGGACAGGACCATCTGCTTCATCCAACCAAGTCTCTGTTACACATGCCAGGTCAAGTCCTCCATCCACGATCAAGTCATGGATGGCAGTGGTCTTATGAATCACTGACCTAGCATTGCACAGCAACACCTTCAGGTCATGTGGGTTTCCCTTGTTGAGCGCAAATATAACATTGAATCACAATGGTACAAAATAACTCAGCAAGCTGACATTTATCAAGAGTTAAACAAAGGTTAGTGTACTAAATATTATTTCCAATTCTAGGTAGTTTGCTATTGGAGAAATACCATATATGATTATGAAAATCTAAAGCAAGAATTATTTTAAAATATGATTTCATTTCTAGATCAGACAAGATTTCTTCTATATATTTCTTTATCACATACACACAAAGCTTCTATTTTTAAACAGGAAATATTTTTGTAATCTAAGGTCTATTATACAAATCCATACAGATGTTTATTTTGTTACAGTTCTGTTAAGTTGTATACAAAGTATAAAGATGTGTCAATTATTTACTAAATTGGCGAGTTTTGCCATTACTGCATACAGTGGTACCTCGGGTTACATATGCTTCAGGTTATAGACTCCGCTAACCGAGAAATAGTGCTTCAGCTGAAGGAGAAAAATAATCATTTCCTTAATAACAATTTAAATAGTGTATTTAACTAAAACAATAAAATTATAGCATATGTATCCATGTTTGTTAACTGATGTGGTTAAACGTGTTTTTTTGTTAAAAAACCCAAAAAAACCTTAGACTGAGTTTTAGCACACATGAAAAACTTTAAACAAATACAGTGGTGCCTCGGGTTACATACACTTCAGGTTACATATGCTTCAGGTTACAGAGTCCACTAACCCAGAAATAGTACCTCGGGTTAAGAACTTTGCTTCAGGATGAGAACAGAAATTGTGCTCCTGTGGCGTGGCAGCAGCGGGAGGCCCCATTAGCTAAAGTTGTGCTTCAGGTTAAGAACAGTTTCAGGTTAAGAACGGACCTCTGGAACGCATTAAGTACTTAACCCAAGGTACCACTGTATTCTGTTCGTTTCTCTTTCCATGCATCTATTTCAGAACATATGTCAGATTTCCATATGTTAGCCAACACCACTCTGACTGCTGTGGTCATATAACTAAATAGTTCCACTGACAATTTCACAATACAGTAGCTGAAGGAGTCATTTCCAACGGCATAGTTTTGGGGTCCAATGCAAATCTAGGGGTTTTTTTTTACACTTTTTCATTTCAAAATGAACTTTCCTCCAAAACTTTTTGGTCTTTTCACAGGTCCACCATAAATGCAAGAAGGTCTATCACATTTCCAGCAATGTCCATTCATTGCATTATTCATCTTCTGTATATCTTTCAAAGTTATATACCATTGAAAGAACATTTTTGTACAGTCATACCTCAAGTTACGGCCGCTTCAGGTTATGTGTTTTTGGGTTGCGGACCACGGGAAACCTGGAAGTACCGGAACGGGTTACTTCCGGGTTTCACCGCTCGCACATGCACAGAAGCGCCAAATTGTGCTGGCGCCTGCACAGACACAGCAATTCAGGATGCTAATGCTGTGGGTTGCGGACGTGCCTCCGTCACGGGTTATGTCTGCAGCCGGAGGTTCCACTGTATCAATTTTGTTTTAGGGCTTAACTTGCAGTACATTTTATTCCTTTATTCATAATTGTTCTCATTATTCCACTATAAACTGCTCTTAAAATTTTTGCATCCATTTTGTCATACAAGGTTTTGCTTGTTCGGGCTCGGTGTCATATTTAAGTAATAGTTTATAAATTCTACCCAAAAGGTAGATGTCAGGGAACTGACATCGGAGCCTGAGGCAGAGGGAAGGCTCTCAAATGATGCTGGAGAAGGGCCAAGCAGGGAGAGAGGCAGTTCAGCAGAGGGGGAAGCAAATCAACGTTACACCAGGGACACGGGGGCAGATGGGGGAATCGGCGAGAGGGACTCTTCACTGGACACCAGCGGGGAGAGCACGGGTCCTCCGCTACCCACGCCCTCCCTGCGCAGAAGACTTCCACGCAGGGAGAGTAGGAGGAGACTGGGCATCAAACAACTTTTATGTTGGAAGAGGTTTAAGAAACACCCACTGACGGATTCTGCTAGCGACTGAGGCAGCCACGAATTGAAGGGCTGTCCAGACAGAAAGGTTTAACAAGGCAACATAGCCAGGAGAGGTGGCAACTTACGCACGAGCAACCCCATACCCATTATAGTAGATGTCAGAGGCTTTATGCTCTCAAGCCGGCATAGATAAAACTCCGGGCTCACGGCCAGTTCCAATCTATTTGATTTATTGACAAAGTTCAAAAGTACATCTCCAGTGTTTCAATTAACGTCCGACCCTTTTGGCACAGTTGCCGCGTCTGCTCCCCCCCCCCTTTTTTTTACCCAGCATGCAAGTCTGCGGAAACCCCGACCCTGACTTCCTCTGTGTACAGGCTGCTAATGATCTCTTTAGGCTCTCTATAAGTGCTGGTTTCTGTTCTTAAATCTTCTCCCGTCTGCGTCTCCCTGATAGTAGACCTCTGTTATGATGGACTCAAATTCTGTCTTTTCACTGATTTAACTGTTTGCCATCCAGTCTTTCTTGAAATTGGATATTAGTTGACAGTATGTAAGCAGTTTCATATTTTTTCTCCTCTTTAATAATTTGGCATGTATTTGATCTGTTCTTGAAGATGATCTGTATCTTGGTACAATATATAGTCATACATTCTCCTCTCGGCTCTAATAATAATGTTCCAGTGGTGACATTAACAGTGTTGGTAAGGGCATTTTTGTGATTTTTGTAGTGCAACTCATGATTTTTGTGGTGCAGGCTGTGCCCCTGGCTATGCTGTGTGATTTGACAGTGAGTTTGGGGTGGCTCAATGCAAAAAGTGTGAGGATCTATAAGGATCCGTGCTTCAAAACCACGTTTCTGGGCCACGGTATGGCCAGGAAGCTGTGGATCCGAGTTTTTTGTGGTGCAGGCTGTGCCCCTGGCTATGATGTGTGATTTGATGGTGATTTAGGGGTGGCCCAATGCAAAAAGTGTGAGGATCCATGAGGATGCGTGCTTCGAATCAACTTTTTTGGGCCACGGTGTCGCCAGGAAGCTGTGGTTCCGTGTTTTTTGTGGTGCATGCTGTGCCCATGGCCATGATGTTTGCTCTGATGGTGACTTTGGGCTGATCTAGTGCAAAAATCATGAGGATCCATGAGGATCCGTGTTTTTTAACCATGTTTTTGCACCACTGCGGCCCCAAGAAACCGTGGGTGCATGATTTTTTTTATGCTGCCTACACAGTAAGACATGGTCTACAGTAACATGGTGGTTTTGTTTAATTTGAATGAAAAAATCATATGAATTCATGAGGCTCCATTTAAAATCTGCTGGATCCGCCTTTTACCCTTTTCCACCAGAGCTCAACTTCTCCACTCAGCCGTGAAGCTCGCTAGGTACCATCCGTCTTTCAACCTAAGCCTACCTCACAGGGTTGTTGTGAGGGTAAACTGAGGATGGAGAGAACCACCTCGAGCTCCTTGAAGGAAAGGTGGGGTGTAAATGTAATTATAAAGAGAATAAAATATGTATTGTCAAAAAAAGAGAAGGGTGTGGGGTTCCCACACCTACCAGGAAAATATACCGTTCTTAATTTTCTGGGGATGCTTAGTGAACTAAATAGACTGTGTGCACATTGGAGGAGGGGTTTCTAAACTGTGGTCTAAGGACCACCATGGGTCCACAAGCTTCATTCAGGTGGCCTGTGGCATTTCCACATTAAATGCTCATATTGATTTCTAATTGCATCTTTGTGGCTTTTTTATTTCTTATATTGTATTTTTTTCTTTTTTAATTTGAATTCTATGGAATGGGGATTATAATGCAAAAAAGCAAAAAACAAACAAACAAACCACACACCAAAAAGAAGCAATAAAAATACAATTGAAAACCATGCAGCATCTTAGCACAGCACATTACAATTGTGACAACAGGCAGAAAAAAATTCACCAAGACTTATCAGCGATTTTCAAGTGGTTCATGGAAAGGGGAGACGGGGAACCAATACCGTTGGAGCATTTGGGAAACACTTCTGATTCATGCATGTATGCCCATTGCACATTGCTTGCTGTGCCTTCACACGTATAATTTGTGGGATTGTCTGTAGGAGGTGGTGTTGGCTACTGGTTTCATCCTCCAGATGTGGGTGGACTCCAGCTCCCCTTCACCCCTGATCGTTGGCTCTGTTGACTTGGTGTAATGGAAGTTGGGTCCAGTAACACCTGAACTGTAGCACAGTAACATTCATGACAAATGGCCACCCAGCCTTCACCAAGGGGCCCCATTTCCTTCCAAGACAAGCTGTTCCACAGCCTCCTAATGCAGGGATGGGGAAGCTCAGGCCCAGGGGCCAAATGTGTCCGTTCCTGGTCTTTCTGGCCCTTGGGACTCTCCCAAGGCCACACACCCTCTCCAGTGACACCTATTAGTACACTCCATTTTATTCCTTAGGTAGTTTTGCAAGGGCTGGAATGTGTCCTTGAACCCTGATAATATATGTGCTTAGATGAAGGACTACTGCAGAAAGGCAAATTTTTGTATGGGTGCTCTGCCTGCTTTTTCCTATGGTCCCACCCACCACTGGCATGTGGTCCTTGGAGGGTTGCCCAGAAGGGAATGCAGCTCTCAGTGCCATGCTGATGTTGAGATAAAATGTGCAAGAAGCTAAACAGGGTCAGGCCTGGTTAGTACTTGGATGGGAGACTGCCTGGGAATACTGGGTGCTGTAGGCTTTCTAAGGGAGTCTTTGGTGCAAAGGGTCAGTGCAACTGGCTGTTGGCCAGAAGTTTGTTGGTTTGAGCCAACAAGGCAGCTGTGGGCAGGATTCCTGCATTGCAGGCATTTGGATTAGATGACCCTCATGGTCCCTTCCAGCACCATGATTCTATGAATCCCTATGAGTTTCCACCCATTGTTTCTAGTCCCATCCTCTGCTGCAATTGAAACCAAATCCCGCTCCATTTTCCACATGACATACCTCTTTCAACCATTCCTTATAGGGCTTGGCTTCCAGACCACCTCACCATCCTAGCTGCCTTCCTGTTGACAAATGTTCCCATCCTGAAAATGTGTTGACCAGAAGTGGATGCAGTACTCCCACCTGCAGTCTGACGAGCACAGACTTAATTCATGAAGCCTCTGCCTACAAGTGCAGCTTCACCCTCCACTAAGGATGCCACGTTACTTTCCAGTGAATGCAAGAGCAGAGATTCTCATTTCCCACTCGCCCTCTGCCTTTCGCCTGCCCGGAATATCCACTGTTGTATTGCAATAATGATGGACAGCAGGCCAGTGATGTGCATCAGGTAGAACATCTCCCCTTGCAGGTGACGTAAGAAGTGCAAGAAAATGTCCCGGCTATTTGTTGCTCGTTGATTGTCTGGCTTGAATAAGCTATTTAGAATGTGATTCTGATTTTGTATTTTGTACATATCTTTTAGGTATCTTTTATATATGTGCTTTAAAAGCTTCAAATTCTTTGCTCTCTCTCTCTCTCTCTCTCTCTCTCTCTCTATATATATATATGAGGAGATTTCACCCCTCCCATATCCAAGAATCTCCTGAGGAGTCTGCTGATTCTCCAGAGAGGAGGAGGCGTGTTCTGCTCTCTACTTATTCTGCTCCAGCACCAAATCAGTCAGTCAGTGTCGGAGAGAGAGAGAGAGACTGAGTGTTAGAGATCGTGTGTAGAGATAAGGTTGCTGCTAAGAGCAGCTGCAGACACTCAGTGCAGTGCAGCATTCATTTATGCTTAGACCTATTTAGCTCTGTATATAGTTGTATAATAGTTGTAGATAGAAATAAAGAAGATATTCTACAGAGCTGCTCTCCGAGTCGTTTATATACTCTGCTAAACTCTGCTGTACTCTGCTGTGCGACGACTGTCTTCTTGTGGGAATGAATCCGGTGCTCACAACTCTAAGCTGTGAGTCCACAGCACTTTGACCTGTTCCTGTGCAGAAGGTGGTCTCTGGAAGTGCTACCCAGCTCGCCTAGCCCAGTCGGGGCTGAAGTGGATCAGTCCAGTTAGATGGCACTGGCTCAAGGGCGATGCTGACAATATATACACTTTTATGCATTTGTTTGTTTGGCTTTAATTATTTTTTTTTGGGGGGGGACTTATGATGGCTGCCCAGGAGGACTCCCCTGCATGAGTGCCTGAGGGGGCCGTTCCTGCCACTCACCATCTGGCCCAGGGCGGGGCCTGACAGGCCTCATAACAACTGCTGCCGCTGCTGCTGCTGCCCAGGAAGACTCAGAACAGCGCAGAGTTCTTTTTAAAATGTTTTTAAAATTTCTTTTCCCCCTTTTAATCTTTTTTTTATTGTGGGGGTGGGTGGGATGGATGTTTAGTCGGGTTCAGGAATTTGTTTAATTTCGGTGTGTTTGTAATTTTTACTGTTTTTGGTTTGTACTGTTTTACTGTTTGTTTTTTTAAGGTTTTATTTTGTTCTTAAGAGGAGGGGTCAGGGCTGCCTGGGAGTGGGTCCCAGCCAACAAAATGGCTGGGGCATGTTCCACAGGGGGGGGATGCACTGGGACAACCGATCTCAGTGATCACGTGTAGGAGGAGGAGTTATGCTAAGACCAGACCATGTCATTACTGAGGAAGCAGGTTTAGTTGTTGTTTGAGGACTATCCCTGCCTCTGGGTCTGGTCCTGACTGGACGGATACTGGAATCAGCAAGGGATACCCACATGACCTGAAGGTGCTGGTGTGCAATGCTAGGTCAATGATTCATAAGACCACTGCCATCCATGACTTGATCATGGATGGAGGACTTGACCTGGCATGTGTAACCGAGACTTGGTTGGATGAAGCAGATGGGTCTGTCCTTGCTGCTGCTTCATCCATACCCAGCTCTACCTCTCTTTCAAATTAAAACCAGTGAAGGCGGTGAAGGTCCTGTGTGAGTGTCTGGAGGCGATTGGAGGATGGATGGCGGCTAACAGATTGAGGTTGAATCCTGACAAGACAGAAGTACTGTTTTGGGGGGACAGGAGGTGGGTGGGTGGGTGTGGAGGACTCCCTGGTCCTGAATGGGGTAACTGTGCCCTTGAAGGACCAGGTGCACAGCCTGGGAGTCATTTTGGGCTCACAGCTGTCCATGGAGGCGCAGGTCAAATCTGTGTCCAGGGCAGCTGTTTATCAGCTCCATCTGGTGCGTAGGCTTAGACCCTACCTGCCCACAGACTGTCTCGCCAGAGTGGTGCATGCTCTGGTTATCTCTTGCTTGGACTACTGCAATGCTATCTATGTGGGGCTACCTTTGAAGGTGACCCGGAAACTACAACTAATCCAGAATGCAGCAGCTAGACTGGTGACTGGGAGAGGCCGCCGAGACCATATAACACCGGTCTTGAAAGACCTACATTGGCTCCCAATACGTTTCCAAGCACAATTCAAAGTGTTGGTGCTGACCTTTAAAGCCCTAAACGGCCTCGGCCCAGTATACCTGAAGGAGCGTCTCCACCTCCAGCATTCTGCCCAGACACTTAGGTCCAGCGCCAAGGGCCTTCTGGTGGTTCCCTTGCTCCAAGAAGCCAAGTTACAGGGAACCAGGCAGGGGGCCTTCTCGGTAGTGGCACCCACCCTGTGGAACGCCATCCCAACAGATGTCAAAGAGGAAAAACAACTACCAAACTTTTAGAAGACATCTGAAGGCAGCCCTGTTTAGGGAAGCTTTTAAATGTTTAATAGGTTATTGTCAGGATGATATGTGGTTGCTTGCTTAGATAACAGCCCGGGATTCCAGCCAGTCTTTACAAGATTTATTAAGTCCAAATCTATGTACAGTACGGAGCTCTTAAAAGCATGTCTGCCTCAGTCGCTATCAGTTGCCGGACGTTGCGAGCACCTGTTCCCCTTCCAGCATAGAAACTTCCTGAGACCCCCCCCCCTTTTCCTCCTCTCCTTACATGAAAACCTAAGCGCCGGAGGCTGCTCCTTTCTCTCTACTATAGCAGCCTTTGGATCTCCCTCCCTCTCATTTTCCGTGTTTCCTGACAGTCCCTCCTCCTCTCCCTCTGACAAAGTGCAGCTGCTCATCAAAGGAGGCGGCTCTGTGTACATTCCGATCTCTCCCCCCTTCTGCCAACCGATCCCTGACATCCACCCCCCAAAAAACTCCCTCTCCCCATCCTCAGGACAGACGGCTACCTCTTCCTCACTGATCTCGCGAGGCGAGGGGGAGAATCCTAGAAAGATGTTGTCGTCGTCTGTGTCCTCAAAAGCATCCTTCCAGCCCTCCCCCAACCCCGTTGTTTCGGGCCAATCCCCAGGGTGTTCTTCTGCAGCGAAGTTCTCGGCGACCCCCCCCCCCCCGGTGCCCACTCATCACTCTCGGATGGTGCGAAACCTTCAAAATCCTCCTCGTCCTCTGTTGGCCCAAAGATTTCCCTAAAGAACCTTCCGGGGTTTTTTGGTTTGTCGGGGAATCGGGCGTGAAACTCCTCCACCAGAAACTCCTCTGTGATACAACTCTCCGGAACCCATGTGTTTTCTGAGCTAGGCGCCCCCTCCCAGACCACTAGGTACTCTAGTTGCTGCCCGCTCCACCGAGAGTCCAGTATCTCCGTCACCTCGTTGCATCTCTCCCTCTCCATTATGTCCGGTGTTGTGGTCACCACCTGCCCCGTCCCCAAACAGCCGCCCCCCTCCCTGTAGGGCAACAACAGTGACCTGTGGAAGACAGGATGTATCCTCATATTGTCCGGCAGCTTCAACTTAAATGCCACGGGATTGACCTGTTGGATGACCTCAAAGGGCCCCACCCTCCTAGTCTTGAACTTCTTGCACCCACCCCTCCAGGGCAGCCCCTGCGTGGACAACCACATCCTATCCCCCACCCGGATGATCTCCCCGGTCTTCAATGCCTGTCTGTTTCCCTCTTGTACACCTCCTTGACCCTCTCCAGGTTCAACTGGAGCTGTTGGTGAATGGCCTCCATCTCTTCCGCAAACTGCTCGGCAGCCGGCACACTCCACGACTCCTCCCCCCACCCCGGAAAAGCCCTGGGGTGACATCCATAATTGGCAAGGAAAGGACTCATCCCTGTGGACACGTGTTCAGCGTTGTTGTATGCAAACTCTGCTAGTGCTAATTTCTCCACCCAATCATAAACATCGCAAATACTGCTGCCAAATAGCATTTGCTCTCTCTGCTTGTCCGTTGGTTTCGGGGTGCCTTGCTGTCGCGAAGCTCACCTCTACCTGTAGCAAACCCATGAGCTTGCACCAAAATTGTGAAGCGAACTGCGCCCCGGGGTCAGAAATTACCCTTGAAGGAACCCCATGCAGTCGAAACATGTGCTCTATGAACAACGGTCACTGCATGGGAACATGCCACAAAGTGACACATCTTGGTCAGTAGATCCACCACCACCATGACCGCCGTCTTACCTCTGGATGTGGTCAAGTCCGTTATGAAATCTATGGACACCACCTCCCATGGCTTCCCTGGTGTGGGAAAAAGGTTCTAGTAACCCTGCTGGAGCCACCCTCTCACCCTTAGCCCTCTGACATGTTTCACAGCCTTGCACATATTCCCGCACGTCCTCCCTCACTTTGGGCTACCAAAAGTCACTTGCAACCAACAGCATGGTCTTGTGTTGCCCAAAATGCCCCGCAGTGGGGTTGTCGTGGAGCTGTTTGAGAATTTTGTCCCTTAGGGACTCACCTGGCACATACATACCGATATCTCCCTCCTTCTGTCAACCAATCCCTGACAGTCATTGTATTTTAGTGTTCTGTTGGAAGCCGCTCAGAGTGATTGGGGAAACCCAGCCAGATGGGCGGGGTATAAATAATAAATTATTATTATTATTATTATTATTATTATTATTATTATTTATTTATTTATTTATTTTCCAGCAATAGTCATACTCATGAATGACTATAAAAACACAGCAAGACAGTTTACAAATTTACAACAACACAACACAACACAATTGGTTAGGAAGAGTAAATTCATGTTTATTAACAGACTGACTTATGCCTATTAACTTTAATGGGTCTCTGCTCAAGTGAAATTTGGTTGGTTGCAATCCTAACTAAGTTAGTTTTTGAATATCTTTTCTTATTAATCTATATATATAAATAATGAAAGTTGAAAGAGCGATACACACAAATATTTACTATCTGTTTATTTAAGTTTCTGATACAGAACAATGAAGTATAAAACAAAACTGGTACAGGTAAAGAAAATGAATAAATTTACAAAGTAATACTGTGCAATGAACATTGCAAATATAACCCTGATCTGCATAAAGAAAAGTTACTGAAATTAAGCAAGGGGCTGGAAATGATTGGGTATAACATTAAACCTTAAAGCAGAGGTCCTCTAAACTTTTTAAACAGGGGGCCGGTTCACTGTCTCTCAGACACTATTGTGGGCCGGACTGTTGTTTTTAAAAAATATGAACGAATACCTATGCAAACTGCAAATATTTTATTTGTAGTGCACAAAAAACAGGAAAAACAATACAATATTTAAAATGAAGAACTATTTTAATCAACATAAACTTGGAAGTATTTCAATGGGAAGTATGGGCCTGCTTTTGGCTAATGAGATGGTCAATACCGCTAATGCTCGTCCCTACAACCCAGCCTACACATGGATCTCCCTCACCCCCATGGCCCAGTCTACGTGCAGGCCTTCCATGCCCCCATCCCCACAACCCAGCCTATAGACATTTCCCTAACCCCCTTCCCCACGACCCAGCCTATGCATGTGCTTCCCTAACCCAAATCCCCACGACTCAGCCCGCACCCATGTCTCCTTAAGCCCCATTCTCATTACCCAATTTGCCTGCGTCTCTCCCTAACCCCCATCCACACCCCACCCAGCTTGCACACCTGTCCTCCAACCCCAAATCCCCACATGCAAGCCTGCCTGCATGCCTCCCTACCCCCAATCCCCACAGTGCAGCCTGCCCACGTGTCATCCATCCCCACGACTCCTGACTCACTGCAGGGGCAGCTGCAGGGCCGGGCCACCCCTCCTCTGAAAGGTGCCATCGATGAAGACGCCCATGTTCACATCCATGGCGCCCTGCGACAAGTTGCATCTGATCGTCACTGTTGCCTGGTGCATCACAAACTCCACGTCACAGCCCTGCAGGTGTGCCAGAGCCGACGGCAAGGCCAGGGGTGAGGCGGGTGCCCCGAGAGGTGGCGGTGAGGGTGTGGTATGCTGCAGCGCCAGCAAGGCCCTTGCGCTGGGCTCATCCTCACCTGCAGCTGCAGCCATCTTCCCAGCTCAGCAGGCGGTTGCGGCCAAGGCAGACAGGCAGGAGCAGCCGGCAACTACATACCGCCGTCCTCCGGAGCGGGAAGGCAGGTGGGCATGCAGGGAGAGGCCTGGGCTGCCCAGACTGCACACTCACAGGCAGGTGAAGAGGCCGTTAGTGGGAGACAGGGCACATGGGGTCTGGGGTGCACGAAGCGCCTCTCTCCTCCGCAATCCCCTCTTTCCCTAACTGCCTCCTCCTCTTCCAAAGACATGACAACTCATCTTCCTTTCCTGACCTCGGGTGGGCCAGGTTCAGGACCCTGGCAGGCTGGATCCAGCCCGCGGACCATAGTTTGAGGACCCCTGCCTTAAAGGATGATGTGCATCACAGGCTTGAGAAACACCCTGCTGTTAGATTGCATGTTCAGTAAATCGATGCCAGGTGGTCGAGAAATAGTGTTTAGTTCGGACTCATTTAACTTGCCTATTTAGTTTTGTTACCTTCTCTATAACGACTAGATTCCAGATCCTGTTCCAGCAGCCTTTCAGGGTGAAGTGAGAGTGTAATCCCCAACGCTGTGCTAGTTCCAATCTGGCCACCTCCACTAGATGTGGAATCAAATCTTTAGACGTGGCATTAAACACCAACCCACCTTCATGCAGGGTACTCTGTTCTTTAAAAATGGAACACCTGCACATCCAAAGCTCCACAGCAGTCTTCCATGCATACAGATCCCAGCACCTGGTGTTCAGAGGCATAATGCCTCCAAACACTGGGAAAGGGCACGTTCGCACATAGGTGTGCAAACACTTCACTTGCCATTTGGGAAGAGTCATAGCTCACTGGCAGGGTATATGCTTTGCATGCAGAAGGTATTGCTAATACCTTGCATTGCAGATCTTGCCCCTAGCAGGTGGCTAGACTAAACCTTGGAGATCCCTTCCGGTGTTATATTTCTCTCAATTCAAAATATTTGCATGTGATAGCTGTCGGTCCAATTGTGTGGGGGAAGGTGTGAACCCTGAGCCCTCTAGTTCATTTCACATTCATTCTGTGCCTGCTGCAATTCACTGGTCAACAACAAATTTGTTGTCTGCGTTTTTTCAGATGATTTAGGATGAATCTGATGCGCTGAATCCAAAAATCACATTGGTTTTGCTCAATCAGGTCAAATTTTTGAGCTATGGCCACATGTCATTTTTTTACGTTTTTGTTCACATGTACGCTTGTGTGGGAGCATTTTAGAAGAAGTTGGTGGGGGTAAAATGCCATGTCAAATAATTGTTTTGATTGGAAATGATTATTTGAATGACAAGAAGTATTCAGGTCCGATAGTTCTGGGTGATTATGTCGAAAAAGGATCAGTTTTGTAATAAATATAGGGGTTGCTCGTGCGTAAGTTGCCGCCACTCCTGGCTAGGTTGCCTTGTTAAACCTTTTCTGTCTGGACAGCCCTTCACTTCGTGGCTGTTTCAGTCGCTAGCAGAATCCGTCAGTGGGCGTTTCTTAAAACTTTTCCAGCATAAAAGCTGTTTGACATCAAGTCTCCTCCTACTCTCCCTGCGCGGAAGTCTTCTGCGCAGGGAGGGTGTGGGTAGCGGAGGACCCGTGCTCTCCCCGCTGGTCTCCGGCAAGGAGTCCTGGAGCCCCCTCGCTGATTTCCCCATCTGCCCCCCTTTATCCCTGGTGTTACGCTGATTTCCTTCCCCAGCTGATGAGCTGCCTCTCTCCCTGCTGGGCCCTTCTCCAGCATCGCTTGGGAGCCTTGCCTCCGCCTCTGGCTCCGATGTCAGTTCCCTGACATCCACCTCCCCCCCCAGGACCCCCTCCACCCCCGGCCCGACCTTTTGATCCAACTTCGTCCCTTTCCTCGGCCGACGATGCGGGGAATCCCCGGAAGGAGCTGTCGCCATCCTCTGAGGATTCAAAACCCGCTTCCCACCCGCTCCGATCTCTTCCCGCGGGGTGGGCCTCCCAGTCTGATTCTTCTTCCTCCGAAGCCTCTCCTCCCTCCTCTTCGGAGGCAGAAAAACCCACAAAATCCTCTTCATCGTCTGTGGTTCCAAATTGCTCCTCCCAGAATCTCGCTAGTGGTTTCGGTTTGTCCGGGAACAGGCTGTGGAATTCCTCCACAAGATACCCGTCATTGATTGCCTCCGCGGGAACCCACGTGTTTTCCGACCCGGGTTCTCCCTCCCAAGCTACCAAGTACTCCACCTGGCGCCCTCGCCACCTTGAATCGAGTATTTCCATGGCCAGGTGTATCTTCATGCTGTCAGGCAACTTGAGCTTGAATGCCACAGGGTTCACCTGCTGTGTTACCTCAAACGGTCCCAGCCGCCTTGGCTGCAACTTCTTGCACTCCCCCTTAAAGGGTAACCCTTGGGTTGACAACCACACCCGATCTACCACCCGTATGGTCTCCCCTTCCCTAGGGTGCTTGTCTGCCTGCCTCTTGTAAATTTCCTTGGCCCGTTCCAAGTTCATCTTAAGTTGCTGGTGCAGGGCCTCCATTTCTTCCACAAACTGCTCTGCCGCAGGTACGCTCCAACCTTCCTCCCCACTCCCCGGGAAGGCCCTGGGGTGACACCCATAATTGGCCATGAACGGGCTCATTCCCGTGGACACATGTTCAGCGTTATTGTACGCAAATTCAGCCAGCGCTAGTTTCTCTACCCAATCGTTCTGCCTCTCGCTGACGTAGCAGCATAGGTATTGCTGGAGTATACTGTTCGCTCTTTCTGCTTGCCCGTTGGTTTCCGGATGTCTTGCCGTCGAGAAGCCCACTTCGACCTGCAGCAAGCTCATGAGCTTCCTCCAGAACCGGGAAGTAAATTGTTTCCCGCGGTCGGAGATGACCCTCGAGGGCGCCCCATGCAGCCTGAAGATGTGATCCACAAACAACCTGGCTGTTTCCTCTGCCGTCACCGCATGTGAGCAAGCTATGAAATGGCACATTTTTGTCAGTATATTGACTACTACCATGACCGCTGTCTTCCCCTTTGACTTGGGCAAATCTGTCATAAAATAGATGGATACCACCTCCCAGGGTCTTCCCGGCGTGCGTAAGGGTTCTAGTAACCCTTTGGGGGCAGCCCTCTCCCCCTTTGCCCTCTGGCAGCGGTCGCACCCCCGTACATATTCCCGTACATCTTCCCTTACCCTTGGCCACCAGAACTGCCGGGTGACAAGCAACATGGTTTTGTGTTGACCAAAGTGCCCCGCTGTTGGGTTGTCGTGGAGTTGTTTGAGTACCCTTCCCCTCAAGGTCTCCCCCCGGTACGTACAGCCCCCCCTTGTAGTACAGTAGCCCTCCTTTTTCCTCAAACCCTCCATGGTTTTCCCTTCCGTCCCGGATTTCTCTGATTTTAGTTTGAGCGAATTCGTCGTTTCTAGTAAGCCCGGCCAGTTCTCGTTTCCCAACCAAGGCTCCCCCACACACCCATCGGTCCTCGGGGATCACGTGTCGTATCTCCGGCGGTCCCTCTCCTTCCATGTACTCCGGCTTCCGGGAGAGAGCATCTGCTCTTACGTTTTCCTCTCCTGGTACGTACCGGATCTCGAAGGAAAACTTGGAGAACTCCTGTGCCCATCGAATCTGTCTCTGGTTGAGTACTCGCGCAATCCTCCAGTATTCCAAGTTCTTGTGATCCGTACACACCTGGATCTTGTGCTGCGCCCCTATGAGCAGATGTCTCCATCATCGAAATGCTGCATACATTGCTAGCAATTTGCGGTCATACACCGTGTAGTTTTGCTCTGACTTGCTCAGCTTCCTCGAGAAAAAGGTGCACAGCCTCCAGCGCTGCTGGGCCCCTGGCTGCAACAGTACCGCTCCGATGGCTCGGTCTGACGCGTCGGTCTCCAGTCTCATTGGCTTCTGCAAATCAACGTGCAGGAGCTGCTCTTCCAGCGAACGCCTTCTTCAGTCTTTCAAAGGATTGCTGGGCACTTTCTGTCCAGACGAACTTCTTTGCTACTGAGACAATCTGTGATGGGCGCTGTCAAGTGGGCGAAGTTCTTGATGAACTTCCTGTAGAAGTTGCTGAACCCTAGGAACCTCTGCACGTCCTTCCGGGTTTTGGGAGCCTTCCACTCCAGCACCGCCTGCACCTTGCTTGGGTCCATAGCTAGGCCTTTGTCTGACAACTTGTACCCCAGAAACTCAACTTCTCTGGCATGAAACTGACATTTTTCCAGCTTGACCCACAACTGGTGCTTCTGCAGTCGTTGTAACACTTCCCTGACATCTCTGACATGTTGCTTCTCATTGTCCGAATAGATTAAGACGTCGTCCAAGAAGGCTACGCAGTTCTTGTACAGCAGGGACCCCAACACGTGGTGCATGAAAGCTTGAAAACAGGCGGAGCCCGACTGTAATCCAAATGGCATAACTAAGTACTCAAAGGCCCCCAGGGGTGTGAACATTGTGGTCTTCCATTCGTCCCCCTCCCTCATCCTAATCAAATTGTATGCTCCCCTGAGGTCCAGCTTGGTAAAAATTTTCCCTTGCCTCACCCGTGTTAAAATGTCGTCAATCCTGGGCATTGGGAAGGTCACGGGTTCTGACACCAGGTTGACGCCCCGGTAGTCCACAACGAGCCTGGGTTGATTAGTATCTTTTTGTCCACAAAGAACACCGGACTGCCCCCACCGCCTTTGATTCTCTTATGAAACCTCTTTTCAGGTTCTTGTCAATAAATTCCCGCAACTCCTTCATCTCCCTGTCCGACATGGCATACAGTTTACCCACCGGCAGCTGCGCCCCCGGGAGCAAGTTGATTTGGCAGTCAAAGCGCCTATGTGGGGGTAGTCTATCCGCCTCCTTCTCGCTGAAGACCTCCTGCAGGTCAGCATATTGTGGTGGCACCTCCCCTTTCGGCTCCACAGCTATCCCAGCCACCCTGGCCATGGTCATCCTTGGGGTTTCCCCCCCTAGACAGTGTTCCAAGCAGTAAGCTGACCCAAAGGTGACCGTCCGCTGATGCCATGCCACTACTGGATCATGCAGTGCCAC